TTAGAACGTATCGGTCACCGTGCAATACCTCGACCACCAAAAAGGGTCCTCTGAACTTAGGATCTAATTTCCTTTGCTGTCTTTCGCTGTTTTTAAGCAGCATAAAATCCCCCACACAGAACCTTATTACTTGAGCCATATTTTTATCAAATTTTGTCTTCTCATATCTCGCGGCCTCCTCCATGTTCTTAGCGGCCAACTCCCTTGATTTAGTCTTGTCAATTTCATTGTCGGTATCACTAATAGGTATCCAACCCTAGCTAACTGTACATCCCCTAGTGCATCCTGCCACAATCTAGAGCTTGTCTCAACAGCCGTCAAAAGATTCTTCAGTGTACTCATGACTCTTTCAACTGGCCCGTTGACTCGATTTGCGCCCGTTCCAATTATATAGCGTCGATTTGTAAAATAATATATTCTTTACGATCGTTTTTTTCGCTAAATTTTCCTGATATATCTATATGAACAGTGTGCCAGGGAATGCTAATTTTTGGAATTGGGTGTAATTCCATTTGAGGTTTTCCTGACGTACCCTTAAAAACTCTACATGTAATGCAGTTCTCCACGAATCTTCGAACATATTTTGCCATACGCGAAAACCAGTAATGGTCGTACACTTTATCTAGTGTTTTCTGCGAACCTAGATGCATGAAAGACTCATGTAACTAATTTATAAATGACCAGCGAAAAGTACAAGGTATCAAGGTACAACTACAGGTAACAACGAGTTTTTGAATTCCTTTGACTCTTTCTATACAAAACATTTGATCAAATTTCATAAGTGGCAACTAAAGCCAACGGTAAATCGTCATTCTTCAACTTATGTAAGATTTCTGATATTTCTAGATCCTTTTGTCGTTTTACCAGTATCCAGTTCTCCGATATTTCTGTTAAGTCAATTCGTTTTTCTTCTATTTTTTTTTTTTGTGGTACTAACTTATTCTTTAGACACACCAGGTTTCTGGATAGAAAGTCAACGTGAGTCATACGCTTACCTTCCCTGTATTGAAACTCGAATTCAAATGTTTGAAGAAACTCCTAGGTGACAACTCGACTTTATTTCAAGAAGATTTTATTGAGCTACAGTCAGTAAAAATGTAGAATTTTCTCTGAGAAAATATAAAAGCTTCATCTGTTGAGAAAACCGGAATGAATTGACGAAAGTATGACGCTAACCCAATAAACTGTCTTAGAGAAGCAACTGACTTTGGTGGAGGCAAGGCCGATAGTTTTTCTATTTTGTTAGAATTTGGGCGTATCTCCCTCGCTTGTATCTCATAGCCCAGGTAGCGCACTGTAGTTCTCAAGATAAAGCACTTTGAAATGTTAAAAGAGAATCCTGCGCTCACTAAAACGTCTAATACAAGTTTCAAACGTTCAAACGCTTCCTCCTTTGATTCTGAAACAATTAATAAGTCATCCATATAAACAATTACAAACGAATGAGCAAGACTGCCATGTGCCTTTAATACAGCTCTCTGGAACACTGAAGGGGCGTTTTTAATCCAAAAAGCATCGCAAGAAATTCGTACTGCCCATCAGGGGTAACAAAAGCAGTATACTCTATACTCGCTAGCCATGTCAAGAGAAGTGAAATATTTAGCTCCCCTAAGTCTAGCTATTCGATCTGATATTAACGGTAATGGAAACTTATCAGCTACGGTATTTTTTTTATTTATTTCTCTGTAATCAACGCAAAGTCTTGCTGAGCCGTATTTCACTCAGCTTCCGAATCAAAAGTAATTGGAAATCTCTCACCATCGACCAGCATACTCGATTGAGGCTCCACTATAGCGCATAGCTCCACTCTTTTTAACGTTCTCACTTCCGATCCAGCATTCTGCACTTTTTTTTGACAATTAGTGGCTATGTGTCTCGGTTCCTGACATCTGTAACACGTTATTTTTGTCCTTCCATGACGAGGCTGCGCTGACGGCCACTCCTTTCCAATTGTCGAAACCTGAGATCCAGATCTACAGTCTTGCTTTTTGTGGCCTAGCTTTCCACACTGGTAACATTTGATTTCCGCAGTTTTAGCTCGCTTCGTCTCTGGTTCCCAGTTCGTTGCATTAGGGCGCTCCTTTAGAGCTGAGAATACTTACTTATAGCTCCGTTTGCAGTTCACGTCGATTGTTAACATGCGTTGTGTGTATCATTCGCTGCAAACGCCGATCGAAATTAGCCATGTGCCCAAGAACCAGCGCGATGGAAATTTGTTCAGAATTCAAATTACGCAGTTTTGTGCCCAGTGACGTCACACTGCGACTTGCAAAAAAAGACAGGCTTTCGCCGGTGCTTGGACAACTATTAAGAAAATTTAAAATGACGGCGGTTGGCGTCTCTGAAGTCTCGTATCGCTGCTCAAATAATTGCCGGAACTGTTGCCAAGTTATTCCCGGGTAACATATTTGAGATAACCATTGTGCCGCTGTGCCTTTCAAAGCTTTACTTAACGCTAATATAAGAGCGCTGTCACTTAATGGTTTTTCTCGTAAGATGATGTCGACCGTAGCGCACCACTGCGTGGCATCCATACCAGCAACATCCGGATAATATTTCGGCAGGAAAATCTCGCTAGTTTGTTGCAACTCACTCGCCGGCGTCTGTAGGCTCTTAACCAGTTCCAGAAAGTTCCGGTTTTGTTGTTCTAACAGCGCGAGTATTTCTCTAGAAGAAATTTGGTTAGTGCCGAATCCCACTTCTGATGTCGGAGAATTGAAGCCTTCTCCACACAAGTTCTTATTGGTCGCTTGTTCGATTGCTTGTTGTTCTTCCATATTGAGTCCTGGCTGGTACTGCGAGTCTTCGTTGCCTTTGTTGCTCATAATTATTACTCTTTTATCAGTCCTCAACTAAACACCACGCTAAAGCTCGGAACCAAAAAGACAGACCCTATCCAGCAACACAACGAAGCCACACACGGCCTCAGTTCGCAAACTGAGTCCCCATCATACCAGAACTGGTATATCCTAGCACGACCTATGGTCACACCTTAGAGTATCCTGTCTATCGAGAGACTGAATTACCTCCTCTCCGACAAAGGTTTCGTAAAATTTGGGGTGGATAAAATCGGAGCGGACGTAAGAGATCGTTTAAGGGTGTTAAAGGCTTCGTCTGCTGTAGAGTTTCATGCATTGTGTTTTGATTTTTTTAGAAGTTTGGTATGCGGACAACTGACTATGGAATAATTAGCAACAAAACGACGATACCATCCGGCGAGACCCAGAAAACGCCTAAGTTGCTTTACTAAATTCGGTATTGGAAAATCTGCAATTGCTTTAATCTTGTCAGAATCGGTTTTCAGTTGGCCATATCCAATTATGTACCCGAGATACTTAATTTCCTACATACAGAAATGTTCCATTTCTTTGCTTTTCTTTGCTACGTTATTCGTAAGATTAGCTTTCCATAAGTGCACCGGTACTTCTCGTAAGAATATAAGATGAGATTCAAAATCACGGACAACACTAAAAGATCGTCTAAATCAGGGGTGCTCAACGCCTATACACTGAGTGCACTTTTGTTTTTGTAGACGCTCTGTGCTTATGGGTAGTGCGCGCATAAGCACCGTGCATATGGGCTTCGATTTGCATGCGAAACAAAAACAATTTTGCTTGTTTCTTCATTACATCTCTATCCGTCGTCACGCTTCGCTGAACGCAATGTATTTTGTTTTTGTTTTTTCCTCGAGCACATGCACTTGAACTTATTTTTCTGTCTGCGTTGGCTTTTGATTTATTTCGTGGTGGACCATCGTAAATGTTATATTAAATTTTTTGGCAGATCAAAATGAGTGATGAATTAGAGAGCAGTTTTGTTAGCATAAACTTAAAATGCGAAGTACAATGCGTAATATGCTTCGTATTTCTGGAGGTAAACACCAAATACAATCGTAATAGGCATTTTTCTCTTAGTGCACAGCTGCGCCCCAACACAAACGCGCCGCTACATATGTACACGTTTTCTTGTGGGTGTGTTAGTAAACGCACTGCCATAAGACGAATTTGAGCACCCCTGGTCTAAATAGACGAAATCACGTGTTCGCAGATGGGCGGGTATCACTTGATCCTTAAGCCTACATAGAGTCTGAGTGGCATTCGTTGGCCAGCTAAAGGTATTTGCCAGTAGGCATGCTTCATATCCAGCCCTGTTATGTATTTGGCTGGAGGCAGCCGACTAAGTATCCCATCTGTATGGGGCAAGGGAGAGGCGTCCGTTCGTGTGTATTTGTTAATTTCGCGTGAGTCTAAGCATAACCTGTGTTTATTTCCTTTTTAAACCGGTTGCAGTTGGAGTCGATTCCAGGAGGACGTTATCGATACTTTAGAACAGGCAGTGATGGTTAGGGCAGCGCCCCCTTTTGGGCCATGAACAAGTTATTCATGTAGAATGTAAAATCGCAATCCCGACTTAGGGATTCTCTTAGATGGCCTTGAGGGTGTCCATTGACCCATCTTAGAGAGAGGCTGGGGATGGCGGGAGACATTGCGGACTAGAACGGATCAACGGAACCGTGTAGTAGTACAAGAAAAGACGGACACGATAGACGTGGTAATTTAACCTCGTAGTGGTTTTGTGCAAATTTTGTGAAAAAAGTGAGTTGGAGTTTATTTTTGTGTAATTTTTCTTTTGGAAACATAAATGTTTATTTTGTTTAGGGAAACCGGGGTCCCACAATAAAGGGCCCCGGGATTTTTTTTGCGAGGAATACATTTTTGGAGAAGTCACATTTTTTCGAGGGTTATTTTTCGTCGAAGAAAATATATCCTTTTTGTGGAGCAGACCTTTTTTCGAGAAATATAAATATTCTTGAGAGGCCACAGTTTTTCGATCAACACAGTTATTTTCTGAAGAACACCATATTTCTGGAGGAACCCATATATATTTTTGAAGAAATTCTAACCTTTTCGGAGGGAACACACACACACTACGAAGTTTTCTGAGGAGAACGTGCGTTTGGAGGAACATTTTTGAAGAACCACGGCATCATAGCCGACCCTCTAGGACTCCAGATCTCCGGTGAGTCCGTTCCGTGTCGGGGTGCCTCCGATAGTGGCCAACTTATGCGCGAACGGCTGGTACCACGAGGTTGGCGAGCCAGTCTCTATACGCCTCCAAGTTCCTTGTGGTGCAATACTCTGGTGTAGTTTTTAAGAATTTAAATACCTTGTATTGTTAAGTCTATTGTGCGTTCGTCCAAAGATTCACCCTTGACCGACGGTTTCTAAAATAAAAGGGTCGCGACTAATTAGGATGAAGGAATAGTGTGTGTAAATCTCACATACCTTTCGGCGTCCCTTCTTTTCCCTTGGAGCTCCTCAGGATTAGGTGACCTAAATTTAAGCCGCGTTAACAAGAGAGTTCTGCCGATACAAGGGTGGCAGAACATTTTCGTCGGTGAGTGTCCATTCCTTAGTTCTTGAATTTAGCTTTGACCGCTAAATACTTATACGGCGGTTGAGAGTTAATTCTAGGGCCTAATGAACAAATAGATTTTGATTGATTTAATTAGAAGCGAAATGTTATATATTCATGAACTTACCTGAAGTATTAAAGACCAGTTTATAACGATGAGTGAGTAGACCTTTTTCTGAGGGGGAGATGGAGTTAAGTTAGTCGCCTGGAGTGACTTGTGGACCCATTATGGGGGATGCGGGGATTATACTTACCTAGCATCCTAGGTTAGGTGGGTACGTAGTGGCCAAGAACACCGATGGCCACCAAAGATCCAAATTTCCGCCGCCTTGTATTTCAATGTTTACGTTTTTGGGTTTGTTTACATTTTTGTTAGTGATCGCAGAGAGTTTAGTGTTGTGAGACGACCGTAATCGATGTTAGTATTTTATGTTGTCGGACTGCGGGCATTGGGGAGAACTTGGCCCAAATGAGATCGCTGAGCTAGCGGCACTTCCCACCCAAGAAAGCAGTTCGTAACAAATCAATACGCAATTACTGCTCCACGGACTATTTTAAGGCTCTATAACATCTAAGGCTAACATCTTTTCCACTTCCTCATACATCCATTTCTCTTTGGCCGGTGAGTCTCTGTATTTATAATAATCGAGTGTTCAATAAGAGATATACGACCCAGTCCTTTGCGTTCAAATAATGGAAAAGTTTTTATGACTGCTCCAAGTTAAACTTTCTGATCTTCCGTTAATAAATGCATTTTTGGATCCTCTTTTCTGGAGAAATCGTCTCCTGTATCTATCTTATAAAGTAACTTAGCTAAAAGACCGAAATTCTGCCAGAAGCCAACTCCTAAATAAACATCTTGTTTTAATTCCGGAATCAAAAAAATTCTATTTCCTTAACTTTATCTTGAAACCTAATTGGGACTGAAAGTTTTGCGATAACTGAACAAGACTCATTGCTAGCTGTTCGTATTTTCCCTGAACATTTGCGGGTTTTCTGTTAATCTATTAAGGCCTTGGCTGCGGCTCCCCCTTAACAACTTTCAGTTGCCCCCGAATCCAAAAGCGCTTTAAACGTTGTACCTTCTATTATAATGTCAGTGTATAAACGGTTGTCTGAACTCAAAATGATTGCTGATCCGATCAGCTCTTACTTTTTTCCAGAACTCTCGACTTCTTAATGTAGATCGTTTGGGTTTGATCCGTATATTGAGTAGTGGATTATTATATAGTTCTTTTTCGTTTTTATCTAATAGTTCGTCCAAAGTTTGAATAGCGGCTTGACTGACTAATTTTAATGAGTAAGAGTGTAATTTAGAAATTTGGTCTATTTTCGCGACGTTAATGTCGAACATTTTTAATGGTTCTACTGTTTCGGATGCGCTGATCATTGCTGGTTCTTCGCACCCTGCTTCCGGTTTCCCGACGGATTACATTTTGTCAAATTGTCATGCTTCTTAACTTCTTCACGCAGTTCGCAGCGGTTTTTAATTTTTAGGTGAAGAAGCTCGCATCTGGGTGAGACTTTAGCATTGCGCTTTAAAATATTCACTATGTTGTCTTCTGCTACTTCACTGCAAAGACGAGATACTAGGTCTTCAATGGCTGATTGGAAATCTTCAAATGATTCACCTTCTCTTTGTCGCCTTCTCCTTATCAATTCCCACAAGTTAAAGTCATCTTTCGTATCATCGAATCTTTGTCTGAATGCTACCGAAAAGGTTTGCCACGAAAAGAGTGGATTCTTCCGATGAAAGTTCCAGAACCAATCACTGGCTTTGGCTGAGAACAACAGATGCAGGTTATCGCAGAGTAATCCATAGTCGTTATTTAAGGGGTTACCTATATACCTTTTTGAGCAAAAAAATTTAGGGAACTTTGGATTTTTTTTCAGGTGTGTAGCAATTATTTTATGACACTGAAGTTATTATTTATTGATAGTATATGTTTTTATCGAAACAACAAGCGTTTGTTCTTGAAAAAATATAAATAATTTACGAAGTTATGGCAATTCTCTCGGAACCCTTTTTTTTATAGCGGCTTGCGGTGACCACGATTGTCAACCGAAATCAAAAAACCAAAAAAATTTTATTAGTTTAGTATTATTTTTAGTTCGTGAATGAATTATTTCAAGAATATTTGGTTTTTTCTGCATACAGTAACAATTTTTCCAAAAAGTTGATTTTTCGAGTTCTAAAAATGTTATTAAAAAATTCTGATTCTGAAAAATTTTCGGCAAACCAAAGCTTTTATACCCTTGCAGTCATCAAATATGTCGAAAAAAATACATAACGGCTAAACAACATCGAAGCTAAGACGATTTTTCTTTTCATTTTCTATATTTTCGACTATTGTTCAAATGACGGCTATATGATATACTCGTCCGATTTTGATGAAATTTAATTCGGTATTCAAAAGTCGTTAGAAAACTCTATATTCCAACAAGAAAGGAAGCTAGCTTCGGCAAGCCGAAGCTTATATACCCTTGAAGTCATCAAATATGTCGAACAAAACGCATAAAGGCTAGACAACATCGAAGCTAAGACGATTTTTCTATTCATTTTCCATATTTTTGACTATAGATCATATGGGAGCTATACGATATAGTTGTCCGATTTTGATCAAATTTAATTCGTAATTCAATAGTCGTAAGAAAACTCTATATTCCCAAAAACATCTTTGTATGATGATTTTTCGATCTTTTCTATGGCAGCTATAAGATATAGATGACCGACTTTTCCTCAATATAAACGTTGTTAAAAAACTTGATATTCAAAAAATCATGCTCGTGGGATAAAAAACAACGATGTTATCAATTTTTTCCATTAATTCTATATATATTTTTCGAACGCTCCTATGGCAGCTTTATGATAGAGTTATCCGATTTCGATCAAAATTAATCCGAAATTCAATAACAGTTAGAAAACGCCATCTTGAAGAAATCAAGTCGATCTGGTCAAAAACAACGGCGTGAGAATTTTTTATTTCATTCTCTCGTATGGGAGCTATCCGATATAGTCGGCCGATCCGGCCCGTTCCGACTTATATACTGCGTGCAATAACTACACCCTTTTGGGAAAGTTTCAGCAAGATAGCTTTAAAACTGAGAGACTAGTTTGCGCGGAAACGGACAGACGGACAGACGTATTCTGATTCTACTCGTGATGCTGATCAAGAATATATATACTTTATGGAGTCTGAGGTGTCTCCTTCACTGCGTTGCAAACTTCTGACTGAAATTATAATACCCTTTTGCTCTGCAAGGATATAAAAAATATTGTGAGAAGAAATATTTATTTATCACATTATTTACCCATTTTACAAATAACAAGAAAGGAAGCTAGCTTCGGCAAGCCGAAGCTTATATACCCTTGCAGTCATCAAATATATCGAACAAAACGCATAAAGGCACTAAACAACATCGAAGCTACGACGACTTTTCCATTAATTTTCCATATTTTTGACTATTGTTCATATGGCAGCTATATGATATAGTCGTCTGATTTTGATAAAATTTAATTTAAACTCGATATTCCAAAAATCGTGATTTTCTGAAAAGAAATAACGATGTTATCATTTTATTTCCGTTAATTCTATATAGATTTTTCGATCTTTCCTATGGCAGCTATATGATATAGTTGTCCGATTTTTATGAAATTTTTTTTATAAATCAAGGCTAGTTAAAAAACTTGATACCCAAAAATCATAGTCGTGTGATGAAAAACAATGACGTTATCAATTAATTTCCTTTAATTCTATAAATATTTTTTGATCTCTCCTATGGCAGCTATATGATAGAGTTATCCGATTTTGATAAAATTTAAACCGAAATTCAATAGTAGTTAGAAAACGCCATCTGGAAGAAATCAAGTCAATCTGATCAAAAACAACGGAGTGAGAATTTTTTTTTTTCAAACTCTCGTATGGGAGCTATTCGATATAGTCGGCCGATCCGGCTCGTTCCGACTTATATACTGCATGCAATAACTACACAACTTTTCGGAAAGTTTCAGCACGATAGCTTCAAAACTGAGAGACTAGTTTACATAGAAACAGACAGACGGACAGACGGACAGACGGACAGACGGACCGACGGACAGACGGACCGACGGACAGAGGGACAGGCGGACAGACGGACAGACATACCTATTTCGATTCAGATGGTGATGCTGATCAAGAATATATATACTTTATGGGGTCTTAGGTGTCTCCTTCACTGCGTTGCAAACTTCTGACTGAAATTATAATACCCTTTTGCTCTGCAAGGGTATAAAAATCAAATTTTAAATATTCACTCTTACACACTTTGGTATAATTGATACGGCAAATACGGCGGTAGCTACGCCCCTGTAAAAGACCTCAACCTGTACAGACATTCGTCTACGTACATGGAGTCTTTTGATCCATCGATCTTTTTTTTTTAAACGCCAACTGGCCAGAATATTTGCAGCCTTCTCTGGTGCCACTGATCTATGAGATGCGCTGCTAAATTGATTTCCTAATCCTTCTGCGTTTCTTTGTGAATGTTGATTGCTTTGTACTTCATTTTGAGGATCCGGTTGTTGCGGCTGTGTCGGAGTTAATTGCGCACCTAATGTAAGTCTTCCTAGTTGTGCTCTAAGACTCTCTTCTATAGTCCTTTTTACGAATGAACTAAGTTCTGTCATCATGTCGTTTTGCTGGCCTTTTATAATAGCATGAATAACGTTTGAAGTATTCTCGCTCTCAGCTCCTTCTTGAGAGTAAGGTGCTGTACTTGCAACTGAGTTATCTCTTCCGTTTCGAGTCTGTGATCTGGTTCTCATCGTCCTGGGATCGAAATCTGTACGGTTTTGTCGCGACTTAGCCCCTGGTCCCCTTCCTCGACCTCTAGGTCTTTGTTCGGGAGATAGAAATTCAAAATTGCAATTAAACTGCGTTGTAGTTAATGTCTCTTTACAGATGCCGCAAAATTCGGGGGCAGGTTCCCCCAGAACGCCGCCTACTGCGCTACCTTCTGGGGTGCGTTGTAACGGCATTTTAAATAAAGATAATTTTGTTGCGTTTATAAATTAATTGTTCTGAACTAACTTTCTTCTAAGCTCAAGAATGTTTGATTATAATCAAATACAAATATTCGTCCCTTTTGAGCATGTTTTAGTCAGTGTTCAGAGGAATGCAACTAATTTGTTGCTACCGCTTTGTGCACTTTCAAAAAAAGGCCAATGTTTGTGATTTAAATGAGATGTGGTTTTATATTTGTGTCTCTGAGTGTTATTTGTTTGTTCTTGTGTACAATGTTTGTGCGTTTTGCGCTTACAAGATCGCGACCGACAACTTGCTTGCGAGGTTTTTGCGAGAACGAACGAAATGTGAATCGGTTAGGAGTTGCGAAGACGAATGAGATGATAAAGAAGATAGATAAAAAACAAGATAAGCTAAGTTAGGCGCGATTACATTATGCGGGTGTTGGTAAACAACTTTACGTTTACGTTACGTTACTTTACATTAGCAGTTATACATTTGAATTTAGGGTAGAATTTACAAGTTAGGGGTTCTGCTCCGAACATGCTCCCCCCGCTGGAAGAGTCACGCTGACAGACGAGGTGGTCTCAAAGGGCAGAACGGCCAACTTGCCAACAGCTCTTCGGATGATGCCTGCAGCTGTTCGAATAACTGCAACACGGGCCACCCCATCTGGTCCAAGTACGATGCTCTCAACTCTGCCCATGCGCCATTGGAGTGAAGGAAGATTGTCGTCCTTAATGATGACTATACTGCCGGGCGACAAATTTGCCTTTCTGATCGCCATTTCCCACGTTCCTGGAGTAGCGATAGGTAGGCAGTGCTCCACTTGTGCCAAATCGCCTGCTGCATCTGGCAAACTCGCTGCCAGCGACTTAGCCGATTGATGTTGAGGTGGGTGATGTCGGGTTCGTCTATGGCGTTGAAAGCAGTGCCAATAAGAAAGTGTCCAGGCGTGAGCACCTCCAAGTCGCTAGGATTTTCTGAAATGGGGCAGAGTGGTCGAGAATTAAGCATGGCAGAAACTTCACAAACGAGAGTACGAAGTTCATGAAAAGTTAAAGTCGATCTTCCAACCACTCTATGAAAGTGGTATTTGGCTGCTTTTACGGCGGCCTCCCACAAGCCACCAAAATGAGGCGAGCGGGGGGTATGAACTGCCAGTTAATGCCATTAGACAACAGGTCATTGCGAAGCTCGATATTTGGAGGATCAGCCAGGAAGATTTCCCTGAGCTCCTGCAACTCGTTTTTCGCACCAACGAAGTTTGTTGCGTTGTCCGACCAGATCGTGTTGGGCTTGCCCCTGATGCTGGTGAAACGCTTGAGAGCGGCGAGGAACGATGCGGTAGATAAATCCTCTACTAACTCCAAGTGAGAGGCCTTAGTTGCGAAGCAAATAAAAACTGCCACGTAACACTTCGCAGGCGGTCGATTCCTGACTTCCGATTTCGAGAAGAATGGGCCACAAAAGTCGATTCCAGTCGTTGTAAAAGGACGACTTGGTTGCACTCGGCTGGCCGGCAAGGGGGGCCATGATGTGCTCCATCATTCTCGGCTTCAGTCTGAAACACCTGATACATTTGTTTACGATAGCTGCGACTGTTTTTCTGCCTCCAATTGGCCAAAACCTCTGGCGCAAGGCAGCTAGTAAACTTTGCGGTCCTGCGTGCAAAAACTTGTGATGAAAGTGAGCGACGATTGCTTGAGTGACAGGATGATCCTTTGGCAGCAAAATGGGATGTCTCGCATCGTAGTCCAGAAGCGAGTTTTGCAAGCGACCACCAACACGAATTAATCCTGAGTCATCTAGAATAGGATGCAACGACGAGAGCTTGCTATTTGATGCAACCTGCTTGTTCTTTCGCAATGCTTTGTAGTCCTCTGCGAAGGAAACACGCTGGATTCCTTTGATGAGTAGATGTGTGCCACCTTTGACGTCATCGACTGTGAGTGGTCCTTTGCGACGCCTTTGATTTTGAAACTTGAGAAGCCAGAACCGGTATATATATCCAAAAACTCTCTGCAGCTTTCCAAATGAGTTTTGAAATTTGCAATCGAAGGAGATATCCTGTTTCTCGGTTACGACTAAAACCATGCGACGACGTTCAGGCAAGTCGTCCACAATAGGCGCTATATTTGGCCAGCACGATGAATCCGAACGTAAAAATGGAGGTCCCTCTCGCCACAGGTTCGACTCCAAGAGCTCGAGAGGTGAGCATCCACGCGATAATATATCGGCAGGGTTCCAGTGTGTTGGTACATGACGCCATGTCATGCCCTTGGTGCGATCCTGAATCTGCGCAATTCTGTTGGAGACAAAAATATTAAAGTCTGATGGAGGTTTACGAATCCAAGAAAGCGTTATGGTTGAATCAGACCAACAATAAAAATTACAATCCGATGAAATGGTTAGTGCAATGTTTGAGATGAGCTCTGATAACAATAGCGCTGCGCATAATTCCAATTTGGGTATGGTGAGGGTTTTTAGGGGCGAAACTCTAGATTTGGAACAAAGTAAATGAGTTGAGATACAGCCATGAGTTTCAGATCTGACGTAAACGCAGGCGCCATACGCTGCTAAACTTGCGTCACAAAAGGCGTGTATCTCCAACGACGAGTTGGGCTGCATGACGAAACGAGGAAATTTTAAATGATTGACCGCTGACATCTGCTTCATGTGCTCCAGCCATGAGGAGTGCAAAGATTGCGGAAGCGACTCGTCCCAATCCAGTTTGTCTTTCCAGAGAATTTGCAGAAATATTTTCAATTTCGTAACAATCGGTGCTATCAATCCGAGAGGGTCGTAGAACTTGGCAACGGCCGATAAAATCGATCTTTTCGTTGCACCGCTTTCTGTCATAGTTCCAGACAATGAGAAAAGCAAGTGATCCGATTTTGCATCCCAATATAAGCCGAGCGGTTTGAGGACATCAGTTCCATCATGAAACCTTAGCGTTTTCTCGCGATCAATTTCTGGCTCGCCTTCTAAAGCTGCTGCCTCGTTTGAACACCATTTTCGAATTGGAAAATGACCCTTGGATAGCAATTCCTTCACCTGCTCACGAATTTGAGCTGCCTCCTCGATCGAGTCACCTCCAGAAATGAGATCGTCCACATAAAAGTCTCTTCGAACTATTTTGGCTGCCAACGGGAACTCAGCTTCCTCATCGTAGGATAGCTGCTGCATAGCACGAATTGCCAGAAATGCAGCCGGCTTGGTGCCGTAGGTGACCGTATCGAGCGTATAAGCCTTGACTTGCTGATTTGGATTGTCACGCCACAAGATAGACTGCAAGTAGTTATCAGGGCTAGTGACACGGACACATCGATACATTTTGCAGATGTCCCCGCATAATGCAACTTTGAAAAAGCGAAAACGAAGCAGTGTGCTGAAGATTTTAGGCTGTATTGAGGGACCTGAAAACAACAAATCATTTAGAGAATACCCTGAGGTCGTTTTAGCTGAACCATCGAATACGACTCGTAACTTTGTGGTTGTACTATCCGGCTTCTGCACGCAATGATGAGGCAAGTAATATTGCGAGGCTACTGATTGCTCAGAAGCAAGCGACATATGCTGTAGATCGATGTATTCCTTGATGAATGCAGCGTATTGCGACTTCAATTCCACATCCTTGAGCAATTTGCCCTCCAGCGTCTTAAATCGACGTAAGGCACGACCGTATGAATCTCCGAGCATGTCGAAACTGGCTTTGGCAGGCAAACGAACCGAGTATTGCCCTGAACTGAGTCGAGAAAAGGTATTCTGGAATAGCTGCTCGCACAAAACATCTTCATCAGTTGCGACAATTGGAGATCCACAGTAGCTGTCGATTTCCCAAAACCGTTTGACAATATCTGGCAAGGAATCGGTTTCCGATTGGATGACGGGCTCAGTGGTCACCGCAAGTGCTGAACGCTTCAAGTTTGAGAACGAAATCCCTCCAGATGCGATCCAGCCAAGACGCGTTTTTTGCAAAATGGGCAGATTTTCGGCTAATCGCATTTGCCCGACGCAAAGCAATTCGTAAAAAATGCCAGCTCCTATCAACAAGTCGATACGCTGACTATTGTAGAACCACGGATCAGCAAGAACAAGATTTGGTGGTATGTTCCACCCTAGGGCGTCTAAATCGAAATGAGGCTGATAATCTGTAATTTTGCCACTAATTACTGCTGTCAGTGCTGTACGATATTTTTTATCCCTAGAGTGCGCTTCGAGATCGACGGTTGCGTTTGATGAAAGCGATGATTCACCAACTCCAGAGATAGATGTGTTTGTTTGACGAGTAGTGAGTTGCAACTGCTTAACAAAACGAGAAGTGACGATGTTGATTTGAGCGCAAGAATCTAACAAGGCTCTGCAGGGAACAAATGCACCAGATCGATTTCTGATGTATACGATGGCAGTGGCAAGCAGCACATAATCGGTCTTACTATCTGACGAGACAACAGGTGGAGCTTCAGAGAATGATGATGATAAGAGCGAAACGACATTTTGAGAGTTAGTAGTGGTAGTTGGAGGAGAGGGTGCGGCGATGGCGTTGGAATCGATGTGAAGCAACGAATTGTGCTTCGAATGGCAGCGTTTGCAAGAACCAGACTTGCACTGTTGCATACCATGGCCTTTGCGCAGACAATTTAGGCACAAGTGCAGCCTTTTAGCCTCCTTATACCGCAAGGTGGGACTGAGGTTCAAAAACTGAGCGCATTTAGAAATGAAATGATCTCTACTTTCACACAAGCTACATGAAGAGGAGGTTAATGATGATGCTACGAGTGCGTTATGAATGCTTTTGTTAGTGTTAGGTTTTCCCACCTGTTTGCTAGGTGTCGGGATTACCATAGCATTTTCAAGATTCTCCAACATGCGGCACCTCTTTTCCAGGAATGTAGCCATATCCTTCCACTTCAGCAGCTTGTTTGCCTGCAGACCCTCTTCCCATTTCTCTCGAGTGTGGCGATCCAACTTCGAAGCTACCAGATAGATCAGAAGACCGTCCATGATCTCCTGTGTCGTTGCCATGGTATTCAGCGCACGCAGATGCGAATTCATCTGGTCGCTTAATCGTCGTAAGCTCGCTGCCGATCCTTGCTCCACACCTGAAATCCCGCAGATAGACCGTATGTGTGCCTGAAAATGCAAAAGTTTGTTATCAAATCTCGAAACTAGTAATTCGATAGCCTTCTCATAGTTAGCTTCCGTGGGCTCCAGTGATCGAATTGTGTCCAACGCTGTGCCATCCAAGCATGACCGAAGATGCTGGAACTTTTCCACGTTGCTCAGGTCATCATTATTGCCCACAATGGTGTTGTACATCGCGTAGAAATCGGGCCAATCGATATAGGCACCGCTGAACCTTGGCAACTTGAACTCTGGGAGCCTTGTGGCACGCGCAGCGGGTCTCGAATCACCACCGACATGTGGAAGGGCTGTAGAATTCACGGCTGAAAATCTACGCTGCTTGCCAAGCTCACGCGAAATTTGCGATTTTACCACGAGGTAGGTGTTTGCGAACTTTGACCGAGCGTCACTGCACAACTCCTGCAAGTCTAACCTTTCGACCGCGGTTTGACTTTTATCAAAGTCCACTTGCATTTGATCGACAAAATCAAGTCGCACCTGAAGATCAGTCTCGTCGAAGTTGACCGCCTCATCTGACTCCAGATAGCTTTTTAAAGCTTCTACCTGTCTTAAGGTAGCATCAGCCTTCGCTTTATAAAAGTCTAAGTCACTTGGTACCGCCGCGGATCTTGCACCAACCGAATCATTTTCAGCCATCATTTTCAAAAAGAGTATACGAAAGTCACTATCACCGTAAGCTGCCGATGCAACTGCACGAAATTAAATGCAAGAGACGAAAATGCAACGGAACAAATTCGTAAGCGTTCACTGACCTCGCTTAACACGGCTTATATATGCACTGCACTTTATATAACCAAGATCAAACTGTGGTTATGTATGCGAACAAGATCACAAAAGAAAGCGCGCCAAATAATACCCAAGCTCAGGAATATATGTATGTATGTTTGTAGGCCTCTTCACCGAATTGCGAAGTGGTGTCCAAATGCACTGATAAGCCTTTTCACCGATTTGTGAAAACCGAAGAACGAAATAAAAAACACACCCCACGTAAATCACGTCGGGGTCACCAAATGTTCAGAGGAATGCAACTAATTTGTTGCTACCGCTTTGTGCACTTTCAAAAAAAGGCCAATGTTTGTGATTTAAATGAGATGTGGTTTTATATTTGTGTCTCTGAGTGTTATTTGTTTGTTCTTGTGTACAATGTTTGTGCGTTTTGCGCTTACAAGATCGCGACCGACAACTTGCTTGCGAGGTTTTTGCGAGAACGAACGAAATGTGAATCGGTTAGGAGTTGCGAAGACGAATGAGATGATAAAGAAGATAGATAAAAAACAAGATAAGCTAAGTTAGGCGCGATTACATTATGCGGGTGTTGGTAAACAACTTTACGTTTACGTTACGTTACTTTACATTAGCAGTTATACATTTGAATTTAGGGTAGAATTTACAAGTTAGGGGTTCTGCTCCGAACAGTCAGTAAAATATAAACTTACCATTTTAGAAAGAAACACTTCCTTTTCAAATTTAATATACATTTTGTTTGCTTTTATAGAAACTAATCTGGTAGTGGTTAATCTCCAAATAATGTAACTAGAAAATTAAATGTACAACTGCCTTGATTTAATTTCCTTTCACAAACTTTGGTGATACATGGCTTATAGTTTGGACGCCCTATCCTGATACTCCGAATGGATGACGTAAAATCGCAAATTAAAATTGACCTAAATATCTATGTCTACTTACTTACTGAGTTTGTATCCACTTATATTCTGAATTAATTAAGGTCGGTTAATCCATTTTTAAATTAAACACCGCATATCCGTTAATATCATCCAGAACTTGAAAGGGACATTCTCAGTATAGCATGACATATTTGTAAAATACTATTGTTTTTGGGTTGAATTGGAAGAGCTTTATTTGTGGTATCTAAAACCTTAATTTTTCTCCTCGTTTCAAAGGCCACATGTTCTGGGCGTCAATTATGTAATATGGGTGGTTTCCCTGTGTCGAAAAAATGAAGATGTTGTAGGGGAAATAGCTAAAGCTATTGATTTCGGACAACACAGACTATTGACAGGATTTCGGGAAGTGTAGGGGAATGTTGTCAGGGTTGGGCCATGTTTTGACCTATGTCCATAACTTCTGAACCAATGAAAATTCAGAATAAGTTTATACATTTTTGGAAAGGTACAAGCAAGAGGAAGTGTTCACCAAAAAAAGAGAACAAAAAAACAAAAACAAAAAAAGTTATAGGCGGTTGAAAAAAAAAAAAATGTAGTCAGCGTTGGGCCATGTAGTCAGGGTTGGGCCACCTTCAGAAAATCGTTGACAATATCGTAACGTGGTGGAATAAAATTGAATTCAGGTTTATCTGACATTATTTTGTTCATTTATTTAATTATTTAGGATTTTACAGTAAATAAAAAATTATTCAGAGTTGTTTTTTCGTTTGTAGCGAGAAACACTAAAGAAAAAGATAAAAATGATTCATCTTCTTTCAATCCATCGAAATATTTTTTTAAGAAAATCTATTTAATTTATTTTGCATATTTTTGCTACAAAAAACTTAAATATTACAACAAAAATCGAAAATACACGAATAAAATGTAAAAATTATGATGGCCCAAGCCTGACTACACAAGTGGCCCAACCCTGACGACATGCGGTATTAATCTATTATGGTATGATATAGCCAAACTATATCTCACAATGAAACTATATCTTAGTATTTTGTAAAAAAATAACTATATAACGTATTTTTATGCTCACCTTGCGGATGACATGTTGTTTTCTTGTGATATTCACCTTTTTCGGCCAGGTAAAAAAAACTTTTTCGAGCACTTTTTCTTCACGGAGCAACGACGCGTAGAAGAATGAAATCCCGAAATAAGTAGTCACGTGGAAAGTTTCGAGTGACCGATAGAAGTTTCTAGACACCCACAAACAGATTGTTCTAGAACGAATATTCGAAATATTGAGATGGCCCGACCCTGACAACGGCCCAACCCTGACAACATTCCCCTACCTAATGCTATGCTCAAACTAGCTCGCCAGATTGTCGTGGGGTCTTTCTACTCATAATATTTTAGGTACACGTATGACTGCGAGCTTATGGCTATTAAAAGCTGTGGGGTTGGCAAAAAAAATAACTGTAATAGGCTAACGACTTTAGCCAAGTGGTGTTTCGTTCTTTAGGTTGGGAATTAGAAGTTAGTTATCCCATTTCCTTACCCTCCCTTCCTTTATCACATTTAATACTAATATGACCCTTATAAAAGTTATAGTTTTAATTCATATTAACACTGACCTGCACATGCTCTACTCGGGACGAGTAAATAAAGAAATTAGGCGATCACTTTAACGGCAAGTGAAAGAGTAGCCATTCTTTATCAGAAGAATGAATATAGTTGGGCAAGTGTCGACTTTTCAGAGTCAGTATTATCACGTAACAAGCTGATTCTACCAACACTTATTCTAAAAGTAATCAATACCCTAAAAACCTTCTTTGTACGAACAGAAAAAAATTTTGACCAGTTGGTCGAATGAAATAAGAAAATCAACGTATACAACGTACGTACGTAATTTCTTGCTACCTACGAACTTAAGTCCTAGAATCTGCGTACAGTAGAATCCTGTTATAACGACTCCGCTTATAGTGTCCGTCCAGGTTGTGCGACGAAAACTTGGTTGGTCCCCATACTAACTTATATGAAAGGACCTCCGCTTAGATCGTTTCCGCTTTAAGCGACAAATCGCTTATACGAACGAAATTTTTCGAGAAAATTGAAAAATTTAACCGGATATTACGTAGTGCAGAAAAAAAAAATACATTGCAATAGTGCCAAATTTAAGCATCAAAACACGCTGTGAGAAATGTATGTATTTATTAGGGATCGGCACCCTTGTTTGTGTGCGTAGCAGCGACACAAAGGATCTTACACTGTCACTACTCTTTGTTAGTTTTAGCTATCGCCTTAACAACGTTGCTGCGAGAGAGAGAGAGAGAGAGAGAGAGAGAGAAAGAGAGAGAGAAAGAGAGAGAGAGAGTCGAAGTGCAATGCCGACGTCACACTGCGTGTGCAGACCTCATAGCCTATTCCATGAAATGTTCCGTTATATTTCTAGTTTTTTCTGCTTTTTTCCGAGTAAAACTGAATTTGTAAATTCACCAAATGCAATATGTGCAATAATAAGCTCATTCACTTTTCAGTATTTAGAAAAACCTATGTTTTTGAATTTAATTTATTAAATTTTTCGTTTTAATTAAAAAATTAATTTGATTTAGTTTAAAAACCTATTACAAACACAGCAACCATAAAATAATCAGAAAAAAATTTTTTTTTGCTCCTTTTGCTTAGTGCGTCTTCCGGGTATAACGACGAAAAACCGTATACCCCAGATCTGGCCCCCTGTGACTTTTTCTTGTTTCCTAAACTGAAGAGGCCCATGAAAGGACGACGGTACGCTACGCTTAACGGGATAAAGACGGCATCGAAGGAGGAGCTGAGCAAGATAAAAAAAATGATTTTTTGAAGTGCTTCGAAGATTGGAAAAACCGTTGGCACAAGTGCATAATATCTCATGGGGATTACTTTGAAGGGGACAAAATAGATATTCATTAATAAATAAATAATTTTTGAAAAATCACAAAATTCGCGGTACTTTTTGAATACACCTCGTATGTCGAACAAAATGCATAAAGGCTAAAAAACATCGAAGCTATGACGGGTTTTCTATTCATTTTCCATATTTTCGTCTATTGTTTATATGGCAGCTATATGATATTATTTTCCGATTTTGATAAAATTTAATTTTTAATTCAAGAGTCGCTAGAAAACTCTATATTCCAAAAATCATGCTTGTCTGAGTAAAAACCAAGATGTTATAGTTTTATTTCCGTTATTTCTATAAATATTGGGTTGGCAAGAAAGTAATGTCGTTTTTTTTAGTAATCGTTTTTAATCTAATTTATTTACGACTAATCGAGCACCAGGGTCACACTTTTTAGTATCGTTTTAAAGCTTATTGTCTTAGGTACTATCGACGAAAATTTGGTAATTATTCGATTACACTTGTGGAAGCCCAGCAGGTAGAGCGCTGGCCTCCGGTCCGGAAGGCCCGGGTTCAAGTCGATCCCCAGGCTCCCTGAGAAAAAGAAACGGTTTCTTTTTCCAAATCTCCACCACTTCTATGCTCTATCGCTCACTTAACATTAGTAACAAATTTCGGCTCCCCGGACCCGCACACCCCCTCGTCCACGTTACTATGGACCCAACAATAGAATTTTCGTCACTCCTAGATGGCGCCAGGTGGCAACCCCACCGCTAGGATAAGTCGCTACTGGCTTAACACCGGTGCGATCGAAAATCAATGATAATGAATCCTCTACAAGAAATTGTAGAGGCTCTAAGCTCCCGGGTGGAGTAAAAGAGTGTAAATTTATAGCAAATTAAACATGGAGGACCAAAGTGAGCATTTTCGGCATGTTTTGCAGTTTTAACTTCCAAAAAGGAAAAAAGCTGTCGAAGCTCGCGAAAAATTGTGCGAAGTGTATGGTAAAGATGCCATGAGTGATCGCCAATGTCAGCGCTGGTTTGCCAAATTCAGGCTTGGAGATTTTGGAGTTAAAGACGCCCCACGTTCTGGTCGACCATCGGCCGTTTTGACGAACAAATTCAGGCTTTGCTGGATGA